AAAAAAAAGAAACCGACATCGATTTTTAACGGTTAGAGAACGCGTTCCAATTTCGAAAACGCCGTCAAATTGCCCAATCAAAGGCGTTGTTCAATTCGTATTAAAAGTAAATCGACAAATTGTAATTGGATATATCCCTGTATTTATACCCGGCTAGTCGATTCCGGCCGCAAAGAATCCTTACTCGTTAATCCTCCCTGATTTGTTTTAAGCTCTATTGACTTTACAGAGAGTGGGCTAAGCAATAAATGTTTTCGTTTCTTTATGAAGTGATTTTTTCGAATTAGGTTAATACATATAAGAAGATAAGTAATTAAAATTTGAAAATTATGTATCGGAACGAACATGTATTATTTATTTAATTATTTATGTAATTCTTTTAGATATTTTTCCAAATGAGCATACATATAGAATATTAATAAAAATACAAAAATACTGCACACTTTCAGAGCCAAGCTTCGGCACGAATGGGTCGGCTCGACCGGATTGATGCGACGGCGTCAGTCACAAAATACCGGTGTGAAACAACCACAGCATTCTTTCTATTTAAAAATCGAACCTTTAATATCTCCAACACATTATTAAATTTCCTAAACAGAATACAAGTAACGGCCTAAAATTCAAATTATAACGTACCGCGTAATGCGATCAGAGCAATGGACCGACTAAGCGCAAACCAGTTTGTACCAGTTAACTAAATAGTTTGCAGGGAACTGAAATACTAGGCAACTAACTAATTGGCTTTAATGACCCATTAGCGTTGAAGCTATTCATTAGACAAACAATATTTACAAGGAAACCCTCGGACTTTTAAAAGGTAAATTACTTTACGCGTGTGCCTTACTTCTATGGGTTGACCAGAGTGATACCACGGCCTTATTGGAAAATGACGTGAAACAATAAACGCTGAACACTTGTAACTTCTCTGGTCTCCAAGTTTAGCTCCTAATGCTTACCATCAGGCAACATGTCTCCTTATTTGCCGCCCTTTATCGACCAAATAAATTCTAATGATGTTGCACTACTTAATATATTTCTCAACACATTTGCTATAAAAAAAATACAATGCAAACTTTTTGCATCAATCTGTTATTTAAAAAATACTGGCTGAACGCAATCAAATAAAAATCAAAGTATCTAAGTTACAATTTGCAAAATGGAATCTCGCTATTGTCATCGCTTTTATGGCATAGAAATTAGGAAACGTACTTATTCTAACTTCTACTTTATTGATGCGATTTATAGTCTGTATTTAACTGTCAGTTTACAACGACCCTTTGAAACAATGGTAAAACCAGTATAATGCAAATCACAACGTTGCATACAAGGGTCTTGATTCGCAAGCTCCTGTTAATTGGTCGTACAAGGATTTTATATCCAGTATAAATAGACCTGTGATTTGACATTTTATTGTTGGGATCGGAGCTCTTTCCGTTTGGTCGTGTGATGTGTGATTTGCATTGATTTTAGAAGCCCTGCGAGTAATCCTGTGTTAGTGCTCGCTTGCTGTTTACACAACTGCTTACGAGTTAAGCAGTTTACTAGTTTCCGAGTTGCTGGGATATTATTCAATACTTAGATGTAATAATGTCAAGGAATTTTTAAATAATCTCAAGGTGCGTGTCAAGTTTGACCCGAATAATGAACACCGCTTTTATCTTTTGTCGGTTGACATAAAAATATAATGAAGGCACAAAAACTGTCAAACAAATTACACATACATATATTTGCAACGTGATGTTCATTTAAAACCTCTTTGAAGTTCACCCCACACCTGTGCCATGCCATCGTCAATAATCACAAAAATTAAAAAAAAGTACGCTCAAAAACCGAGCAATCAAACAAAACAGCGTTCCGTATAAACCGCATTCGAAAATTAAAACGACCGCGCGCGACATCACTCTGACACAGCGACAACACCGCATTTGGCGCGAACTGATTCGTATAGGGAACGCTACGAGAGCGAGGGAGACAGATATACGTTTGTTGTTTCGCCGGTAATTGTGCTGTGATGGCAGTAAAGCATTGTTCGGTCGGTTTGGACCGCGTGAAATGGTGGCGCCTTTGTTTCGTCACTGAGATGGGTTTTGGAAAATTAAAGCCGCGTCGAGTGGGGTTGGAGAGCATGTTATGGCGATTGCTTGGTTAGAGGTAACGTGCGCCTAGCTTTGCAACATTTCTGTTAGTTTTACGTAAGTTTTGATGACAGATAGCGTGTGCGTTAGTTTTTGTATACTTAGAGTAGACAGCTTTTTAAAGGTGGCTATGAAATACTCTGAAGGTAATATATGTTTATTTCAAATAGTAGGAAGGATCTGTAAAGACCATTTGAATTCGAAGACTACCAATAGTTGTATGTTAAAAAAAAAAATCAATTTCATATGTAACTTATTCCTTTGTAGGTCCTAAACTGCAGATTAATTGTAACTCCGTCGTACTACTAAAAACCTATAAGTTATTCAGTAATGTTGGGGCCACACTGACGGGAAATGCCAATAATTTATCACGATAATTATTGATGATACTAAACAATGAAAAATATACCTTAAATCATTTGTTTAGTGATCAAACTACACCAACGATTAACGTCGGTTATCGCAATAATAAATTGCATTTTCCGTTACTGTGGCCGAAGCGTAACTACATCAAACAAATGCCAAAACAAAACACACTAAACTAACAATAGTAACTTGATTTCAAAATTCCAAATTCAATTTGGGAACAACGAAAACACAATTTTCAAATAACACAAAATCCAGCCAGTTACTCGGCTAACAGTTTGTCAAAACGCATCACTAATCCCGTTCACCTGACACCGAAATCACGTCGGAAACTCGATACATCGCATAGAATCGATTAGGTCCGGACGCCCCACTAGTGCTAATCTGTTACGGTAGCTCGCTGACATCATTTATTATCTGTGCGACTAATACGCGGTAATGGCCGTGTTTAGAAATAAAGCGGGAAAATTTGTTCTGTTTTCGTATCGAGTTACTTATTGTTAGTTATGTGCTAATATTAATTGTAATTGTTATAATTATTGAAGTGTTATGCATAACTATGTTATCATCATATTATATTATAAGCTAGCTACTGCCGCGCGGTTTTACCCGCTGCCCGGGTTCTGTAGGTCGTACGGTATTGTTTTATACACTAAAGCGCTCAGGAACATTCTAGCTATCTATCAGTGAAAGAAGTTTGGATGTCCGACCGACTGTTCCAAAGATTACCCACTACATATAATTTTTTTCCTCCCTTTAATAATAGTATAGAAGTATTAATACTTCTATACACATAAATCTATAGATTTGACTACATTAGCTTCTGTATTGTTATCTGCTTATTTCATTGTACCTTTGTATATCTGTTTAATTGGTTGTAAAGAATATTTTCGGAAACGATTGTACTGTTTTGAAAAGATTTTTGATTATTAATAAGGTTATTTTTCAAGGAATAGCATAGCGTACTTGTTGTCCTAATTCACCTACATGATCAAGACGGTGCCTTGCCAATACGGTAGTTTCAACTAATCAAATTCAATACTTTTATCCAAATTTCAAAAACGATACTTTTCTATGAAAGGACATGGCTAAATTGAAGTATGGACGACTGCCCTGGCACTGAAAATGCAAGAATAAACATGGCTCCTAGCAATATATAATCTTGAATAGCTGAAAATTAATATTTTGTAATTATAAAACTTCAGGAACTTTTCAGATCTGCACAATCCTGAAAATAAAATCGCGTAACGCCTACGACAAAGAAACAAAAACTTCGAACGATGACATTTGATATGAACTTTTATGTAGGCGTTTTAGTATGTCTACGATGATTTTAAGCGATAATGGTTTTTACGCTGCGATTTCATACTAAATTACTTGAAATAAATATCTACTTAGGGTTAAACGCTCCATAAAAATCACAAAAATACATTTTTTGTGTTATAAAATCCACTTACCCAAATGAGACAATGTTAATATTATTTTTGGATAAAATGATGAATATATTTGATATAAAAATCTTAGATATTAATTACCTTAACTCATCAATGATGAAAGCTTGACAACACTATGTTGATGATGAGTCATCATCAACATGGTGTTTGTTGCTGTTGCAAACCTTGTTAGCTTCCACCTCGATCTTTGGGGCAGCTATAGATTCATAGACCTAAATATTTGTAATTTCTGTGTTGAGCCTGGTAAGTAAACAGTTATGCCATGCCTAATCTACTTCATAGACACACTGAGTAACCAAGGACAAAAAAATATAAAGCAAAACAACAAAAAAGTGATTTGTGTATTTATTTATTTATACACACTGAATAAGCAAGGAAGAAACATTAAATATAAAGTAAAACAAAAAGTGATTTTTCTATTTATTTATTCAAGTTGAATGTACATCACACACTCTTGTACTGCGGGGAATATAAAAATTATATTATGTTCCAACAAGCATTTTTTTTTTAATGCTGGAACAACATGAATCTGTTGTTCATTAATACAACCATTAAGCACACAGTGACTTAAAGTATTTGCAGACAGTTCATAGTTTGGCAGGTTTATTTCTGACTCCAGAACAAGTCCCGGTGCTGTTTCAGGTTCAGATCCAGCTAGTGGCCCAGGTTCTCGTTTAACTTGTGGTACAAGTTCAGGTCCAGGCACGGTTGATCGATTCATCCCGGTTTGACTGCCTTTGATGCATTATCCAACAAGGATGACACACAGAGTTAGGGGCCTAAAAAAGTTAATTTATATTTCTTGCATGTTGTCTTTGCTATGAAAAAGAAATGATTATATTACTGTGAAACTGTATAATTAGATAATTTTTTACAAATATTATAGTGTTTTATGTTATTTTTGTTTATATAAGATATATTATAACTAGCTGTAACCTGTGGTTTCACCTGCATCATTATACATAATAGCCTAACTTCTTCAGTAAATATAACAGTAAAAGATTTTTTCAAATCGGACCAGTAGAACTGAACAAACATACTTCAGCTTTATAGTATCAGTGCAGTAGATTTATAGCAGTATAGGAGATAATATATAGATTTAATAAAGACTAAGTTTTGACTGTAACTGCGGAGAGTACCTGCTATAAATGAATACCTTAATTAAACAATTTATTGTTTTAATATTCATTACCTGATGGAAAACTGAATGTGACATAGGTAAATCCTGCATCATCAAATTGGTTCTTTCCACTGCATGACATTATACACTTCATAGAACAACCACAAGTTATGCACATCATTGTAAGGTCAAATAAACTCTGACCTGACCTGAACCTGATCATCATTTCCTTGCATTCAGTACCAAAATTGTCAAATGTTGGCATCCCTAGGAATCTAAAAAAAAACAAAGTGTAATTAAGTACCATAATACATTAGTTATTAATACCTACCTAAAGCTTTGATTGAATAAAATAACATCTAAGATTGCTTGTCTGTTTTAGTCGTAACATTGCAAGAAATCTTATTTTTCTGTGGGTAAGTTATGTATATTGAGAACCAACTTGAAAATAACGTATGCTCATGGTGTTTTAGATTGATTAGCTTAATAATTATTCAAGTTGCAGATGACTTACCTCAATTGTTAACCATCGTGCTAGATTACTGAGTAAAAGAGCAGGCAAAGGCGAAATGCCGCCGCAGTCTTTGCGTGGCTACATCGCAATTCATGCACCGCATAATTGCAATTCAAGTCCGTGTCGATCCAATAAACAAGCGAGGGATAAAATGAGAATCCAAACACCACAACAAACAATCGACCGAAAGAACCGAAACGACGTCTGTTTTTTATCCATAGAGTAGAGATGGATCGGGCTTAAAATAATCGATTTTGTTAATCGTTAAACTAATCGATAAAATGTGTTGTTGACCTAGGCAAGCACAAAAAATGTTTATTACATTTATATTATGCGTCCAACGTGTTAGAAATACACTTATCTTATTACAATTATGTAGTTTTAAAAATATAAATTATTTAGATAACAGTTGTAAAATATCGATGTTGGATCAATTCATTCGATTTGACATTCTGAAATGCGTTATGTCTCGCCTCTAGATAGCGGAATTCCTTGATCTTGTCATGTCAAACCAAAACAAAGGATAACAACAATTAAAAAACTTTTTAATGTTTATCATTTCTCGAAAGTTCTAGGAAATTATTAAATACTGAATAATTTATGAATGAATATTTAAATGCTAAAGTACAGTGTGAAGTTCTTATTCGTGCTTAGGGCAGTCGTTTAGCCATCTCCTTTGTATAAAAAACTGAGTTATAACGTCATAGTATTTTTGCGTCAAATAGCGTACTACTTATTTCTTAAAAATTAGCTTAAAAATATCTAAAATTTTATGTAGCAATCGATCAATGAATAAAAGCATAGTTATTTTTCGATACTTCATTGTATTGAAACGTCGAATTAATTTATTTAAACTACCCAATTCTCACTAGTGACCATCAGTGTGAAACATATACTGCTATATGCGTGAGTGACGTCACAACATTAATGGCTGCCCATCTGCAAACTGACCTATCGTGATGCAGTCTCAACTTAATCGTTACCGAGTATTAGGAACTTAATATTGTCATGTTTGTTATTCTAAGCAAGGGTAGGAGATTGAATAATGTTTTTATATTACCATACTGACTAGCGGAAGATAAAGAAAATTTATTGATTTTGATGACTAAGGAAAAGAGTCGGTTGCGCAACGTTGCCGTGACTAGCACGCTGCTAATAAATATGAGTCTCGTTGTGCCTTAAAACTAGTTGAGCTTATCTCAGTTAATTCACATGAGTTAGTCATTATTTTCAATAAGTCAAAGTCAAAGTCAAAAATATTTATTCCAACTACCAACTTTTGGAAGGTCAAAATAAAATAGTAGCCTGCAGTCTGTTTGTCTGTATTTGAAAGTTTGTTGAAGTTGGTAAACTTTGGAACCGCTGGTCAGATTTCTAAAATTGTTTCACTTATGGATAGCTACAATATTCCTGGATGCTATTAGCTAGAATAACATATCACGGTATTATCAAAGGAAGCCGAGCAGCGGATGAAACAGTGCGAGAGGGGCAAATAAATAATAAATGGCGCCACCATCGAGTTTAGCAACCTTTATTCAAGTCAAGTAATATCACTTCTATATTCAACATACCTCTTGGAGGGGTCGTCCTGTCTTGTGGTCTCTGCCAGTACCATGGAGCGGGCACCAAACCCCCATACCTGCCAGCTAGAGCACTCCACTGAGATATCAGGCCCAATCTGCAACAAAACAATAGAACATTATAAACTAGCAACTTGCAACGGCTTTGCAGGGGTGTAAAACTCGTACTAACATTCTTCATTGTTTAATGATTATATTATACATATAACACTTCCTTTTCAATCAGTCTATCTTTAAAAAACCTCATCAAAAACCGTTTCATACTTTTAAAGATTTAACTGTTCAATATCGCGGAAATTAGATGAACGCCGGCGTTCGCGTGAGGTTTGGTGGAAAAAGTAAACATATTATAGGGATAGAGAAAGCGACTTTGTTGTTACTAGGCAATGATATACCTACAATGCAATTCGACTGCACGGTTGGCGCGGTGACTGGGCAACTGGCTGCCGCGCAACGTGTCGCGGGTTCGATTCCCGCACGGAACAACTCTTTGTGTGATCTACAGATTGTTGTTCCAGGTCTGGGTGTGATATGTGCATGTGAATTTGTATGTTTGTAAACGCACCCACGACACAGGAGAAAATCCTAATGTGGGGCAACGTTTACTTTAAAAAGAAAAGAAAGAAATGAATTTGGAATAATAAAGCAGTTCCTAAGATCCGATCAGATGATAATGATTTTCTCAATAATAAACTGTTTCGGATATTTCATGTGTCGTTTATGAAGCCACCAATCTCCAAAATTATCCTACTAATATTATTAATGCGAAAATCTGTAAATAAGGACGGATATTTGTCACTCTTTCACGTAAAACTACTGAACATAACACAATCAAATTCGATACATACATAGACTACTTTCAACTTGTGCTAGAGACAACCCCGCTAGCAAAATCCACTAAACTAATTCAATACAGGTCATTGAATACCTATACGAAACAAAATACTGAACAAGGAATGTTTAGGCGTTATAGTAAAGATTATGACTGTTTAATGAGATTTAAGTGGCCGTGGTGTGATGTGGTCTGAGTGACAGAATGTATCGGGTTACATACAAAATGTGTTTAAGACTTGACACTAAAGGTATTAGCGTGTATTATGACAAGAATATCTATGAAGTTTTACGTAGGTTTAAGTCGTTTATACATAGTAGCGTTTGCCCGCGACTCCGTCCGCGTAGAATCTTGACTTCCTGCAGATTTTTGGTATTAAAACTATCCCATGTCCTTTCTCGAGTTCCAAACTATGTCTTTACCAAATTTCACAGAAGTCGGTTCTGTAGTTTAGGCGTGAAGAAAAGACAGACAGACAGACAGAGTTACTTTCGCGTTTATAATAGTATAGATTAACACGATCATGTTAACGTGTTTTCGGTAAAAAGTTGTGTTTACTTTTTGCCTTTTTGCTGTGTTAAGTGTAGAGAGCTTGCATGGTTCGTGACGAATCGACGTGATCGGAGTAATACTAAGACGTAACAGAAATTCGACGTGAAACAAAGCTTGCGTTGTGTCTTGTCTGCGAGTGAGGTTATAAGAGGTCATATCCTACCCGCTTCAACCCTGATCCTCGAATTCTTAACCCTCAAGATGACAACTGCCTATTTTGTTCATTGGCTGATCTATTTCGTAAAAAAATCTTATTTAAATATCATAGGGCATTGAGAGTTCGATAATATTGCGCTTTAGTAAGTATGAGTACTGACTATTTCACTAATTATACAATCACACGTTATCATTGACGAATAGACACCGTTCTAAAAAAACCTACTTATCAAAACTTTTTGTATAATCTTCACCACTAACCATCTTCTTCAAACGAATAAAAAAACATTGAATATAGTCAACTATCTTATTATTCACGTACCGATACCCATAACTTAATCCAAAAAAAAACATCTTGTATCTATAAAAACAAAAACAAAATCTAAAGCTCTAAAGAGTCTTAACGGCCAATCAAGCCCTCACTACCCAATCCAACCACACTTATTTGAAAAAGACTAAAGTAAAAAAAGGTCCAACATAAAACAAACTATAGATAGAGAAAAGCAGGCAATATAAAGAAGGAGAGACTGTAAATCAGTCGGCGGGAAAAATGTTAGATTTTAGAGTAGTTCCCATTGTTAAGAACAAGCTTTCTCGCTTACCGAGCGATCGCGTTCCTAGTATAAATATCGATTGTTACCAAAGAGGATTGCAGCACTACGCTCTGGGGACGGAACGGCCGCTGTAGGGATGTGCGATAATCGTTGTCGATAGTTTTTAAATATGTTATTTGTATACTAATATTTTAAAGAGGTAAAATTTGTAAGTTTGTATGTAGGTGGTAATCTTTGGAACCGATGGTCGGATTTCCAAAATTCTTTCACTGATAGATAGCTACAATGTTCTTGAGTGCTATAGGCTAATAAAACATCACGCTATGGTTAAATGGAGCCGAGCAGCGAGTGAAACTGCGCGAGAGTAACTAGTTATTTTATAAATATTTATGTTTAATAGTTAAATACGATTTGAAAATGTTATCGAGGCATTTGTCTTTAATAGTAATCCTTTATTAGTACTAAAATATACTAAACTTGATTAAAATTCTTAATTCGACTCTTTAAAATAAATTAAAAAGACCTGATGCACTATCATAATCGTCATCATAACTTGTTGGAAGAGACCTGCATCGATATGTTTTGAAAACTATGTATATAAAAAATGCAAAAGACAGCAGTTACCCATGTTTGTTAAAATCAAATAATCAATATATACATATATACATTTCGAAAAATTTGATCATTATAATGTTAATCAATAAATTCATCTTAAAACAGAATGCGTCGCTCGTCATTCAATGATTTGCTACGCTTGTACGAGATATGCTACGCGCTACGAAGACGTAGGAGCGTAGTTTGTAGCAAACGCCTACGCCACTGCACTGATTTTAAATTAATTGAATTTTGCTTACCAAATTATTATATGTTTTAGTTTCCCGGTTTCTTAGTAATGCATGTATTAAGGATTAAACAGCGGACACAATCCCACATACTTATATGTGATTGGTGCAATGGTACCAACATTTAAACAATAATTTTAAAAAAGTCGATCAAATTTTTCTGATTAGGAAACTGTACATAGTTCCGTCATATAGAACCAATGGACGTTAATATGATAAACAAACTATTTAAGTGTCGATAAAATTACACATTTATTTAAATCTCTACCTCCCAACACTAAAATCGATCCCATATTTTCCTATTTCGACGCAAGTTTATTTTTTATCGATATTCGAAATAACAATAACGATTGCGAGCCTTTTTATCGTCAATATTTTATTGTTGGAAGTGCCGAGTGTACTATAATGGGGAAATGAAAATGCTCGCACATCGTTTAGTTTGAAACTGACTATTGTTGGAATTCTCACTTGTTACTTATGACCTAAAATAGGCTAACAGACTAAAATTGAGATATAGGTAACTTGCAGATAAGGTGAATTGATTATAAAGAGATCGTTGTATGAAGTATGAAATAGGATGACATATTTCTACTAAGTAACATATAGTTCTAAAAGATTGATCTGAAAATTCCTAGTCTATTTAAAGAAAGCGTGTCGAAATCCCCAAAACCTTAATCCTAAAACAATACCAAATACAAACAACATAACAGAACCAATAACGTCGTAAATAAACTGACAAAAATCAATAAGAAAAGAAAATGTAAAAAATTCCCGTCGCCCCGCATTACGGATTCGGCGCGGCTCCACAGTAATCCAGAGCGCGCACTCCGCGCAAATTCCATTACACGATAAAACGAAGCGCTGAAACGTAGCACCACGCCGCCATCTGATTGGTCGGCACACCGCGCCGTGATTGGCCCACTCACTAACCCCGCCTCCCACTGGGGGTATAAAAATCGATGCGCTGCGAACACTTATTCTTTTTGGTGTCGCACGTCCACCAACACTTTTCTCTTGTTAATAATAATAGCGTTTGCGCTATCTTTTTATAGTTTAAAGTGTTTACTTGTATCTGTTGTCCGTCCGAGAGACGGGGGCTTTTGTTAGATGGGGTATGCTTTTAAGCATTGTGTCTTTTCAATTTCAGCTTGAGAACGATAGTGTGCAGTGTAAGCGAAGCCACTCAGAGCGCCGCGTGGACAATAGCTTTTATTCTACTACCAGTTATGTTAAGAGAGAACTTAAAATTAGCTTCGGAACTTGATACGTCTGGGATATTGAGGGGAAATGGGTTTTGGAAGTGATAAGACAAGTATTATGTTGATTGCTTAAAGATCAAGGACGTTTCGGCAAACGCAGAATTCAATTACTTAAAAAAAATCGACCATACCGTTTATTACGCACAAAAGAGTTTAAAAAATCGTCAAATATTTTTTCCTTTTTCAAAATTGATTATTGAGATCGACATTCAAGCTTGAAACTTAACAATGATTAATTAAGTTTTCAAGCATTCAATTGTTTCTAAATAGTATTTGTTATTAGTTGCATGAAACATGCCTCCTAATGCATACCTAGTAAACAAGCTTAAGCACAATAATTATTGCCAGTAAGCGCATTAATAACGCCTAAATCATGCTTACGTGCTTACTGCGTAACATTACCAATTACAATGTAAGCACACATATTGTGAACATCAATTTATTAATATATGTTCAGTTTTGGGCTTATTCCGAGAACACATTTTCAGTGTATAAGTGCCTACTGCTTAGCAAAAGTATAGGGAAGGAATGATCATTAATCGCTACGCTTGTACTTGGAACTTTAAAAACTATCCTATGTCCTTTCTCGAGTTCCAAACTATGTCTGTACCAAATTTCACACAAATAGGTTCAGTAGTTTAGGCGTAAAGAAAAGACAGACAGACAGATAGAGTTACTTTCGAATTTATAATATTAGTTTGGATTTGGTTTATTTAGCAATTACTTTTAACAGTAACTTATACATGTCTAAAAATTTTAATTTTTGATATTTAGCCGATAAAAGGCAAAAATAATCATATTATTAACTTTTATAATAAAGCTACGGATTAAAAAAAATCCAAATACTTCTACAATCTCAAAAAGAAAATTCAACATTCTCAAAAAATAATTATGATTTCAAAA